TCGCAGGCAGCAGAGGAGAAGTGAGGAATTGGTTAAAACGATAATTCAAGAGGTCCATTGTCGAGGAAGCTTGAGTCCTAGTCTAGCTAAAAGATTTCAAGATTTAAATTTCTATCCTTAGCTAGTCTATACTTAGAACTGGTGTTACTTAGTTTTGATGTTCATAGGTTTGGGGTTGCATGTCCAAACTTGGGCGGATAGAGATAGTGGTTTTTGTTATACTTGTAAATATTTTCCCTAGTAATAAAAATTTAATTACCAAAAAAAATATTATTGTTATTTGCAGGTAGAATTGGTAATGAATAAGCTTACCATCAGATGCATCATACCTAATTTGGCATTTTCTCAAAGGTCATTTTTTGAAATCTTATTATTCTTTTAAGTTAATAATCATTCTTTCTTCCCAAGAGATGAAATTAAAATAAGTAAGTCCTGAGTGAATCCATATGCTAACCAAACACGCCAAAAAGTACATAACAATATTGAGAAATATGAAGATAGAATTTTTAGAGGTGACTATAGGAAAAAATTAAAGAAAATATAAACGTTGTTAAGGTGCATATAAGGCAAGCGATCATATTATATTTAAAACGTGAAGGAGCAGATTATACATACTTGCTTTCGGATGATAATCCTCAACTTCTATATTCTTCAGGTAGTATTATATGTGTTGATGTTTTAGAAGGTAATGTTTTATCCCACTTTCCAACGTTTAGTATTTAGAATTTGTTTTGATGCTATCATTTAAAAAGCATTGAAATTGTAAAACTTCCGTAATGAATACACTTATAGGAATATGAAGAGCTAACTCTGGAAAAATAATCCCTAGTTGTAATTGTTGCAATATGATGCAATAATATATAGTATAGAATTTAAGTAGTTCTTTACTCACATGGCCTAAGAGCCTTGATGCTTCTTCTTGGTGAAAAAATCCAGTTTTTCTTCTTCCACTAATGATCTCGAATATAACTCCATACGGTCGAAATCGAACTTGTGGTGCATCCTAGCCTCCGACATGGTGAGCCAGGCTCGAGACATGACAATAAAGGATTGAAAATCGACCCCAAGTCCCACCGGGCTAGAACCCGGGGGCAGAATGTCTGCCTTCGAGAATATCGATACCGTGATCCCGGAATCGATCCTAGCCTCGAACGAGCTCAAAGAAACATTGTTAGCATAGCAAACCGAAGACCAAAATATCCGTGACCGATCGGATATTACGGCGGTAATCTCGGCACGTATCAATAAGGAACCGACAATCAGTAAATCAAGAGATTTTTTTACCTTTTATAGAATTGTACCTAAAGTAGGACTCCTCTACTATATAAAGAGGATCTGATAATTTATAAAACACATGGTAACGCACATTCAAAAGCAATACATTATTATTTTTCTCTTTAAGCTCTTATTCTTCTGTATCCTGATACCGATCGAAGTACATTTGGTTTGAGGGTGACTGACCTTCCAAGACTGAAATTGTCCAATTTGTGTGGTTTGAATTTATTTTGTCATCATTTATTTCAATTGTAACTTAGTTTATTATTTTGTGTCAAGTTAATCTGCATATCCTTAAAACCACTTACAAATTCAATTATTATCAGATTTTGAGGGTAAATAGTTTGGTGCCCACCGTGGGGCTAATGATAATAGTGGTTATTTGATACAAATTTTCATAACACACACTACTTTACACTTGTTCTTTGAAGTATCTCTAATTTCAGGTTAAAAGCTTAAAATGTCAAACTCTCAATCGGCACCCTTACATGTTGACAATGAGTCCGGCCATCATGATGAAAATAAATTTATAATAACTTCTTTAAAAATTTCTTGCAAGCTTTAAATCTCAAGGCACACTTTAAAATTTACGTTTTTGTATGTAAACATTGGATGGGTTATCCAATCCATTAAAGAATGTATTAGAATTATAGGCTTATTTAGTCTTTTACCTTAGACTTTTTGTCTTCACACTTATAATATAGTATATGACGATGATATATATATATATATTCTTTGATCTTATGCATGTAACTTTTATTTATTACCGGTTGAGTAAACAGTATGTCTAAAAGATTAAAGGACGAATGCTTAAGCGTTTTATTACTGAAGCATCTCTCCTTTTTCTTTATAAGTAACTCTTCCCTTTCAACTGTTTTATAATATCATATAATATAGGTTCGGTGAATCATGTGATATATCTTGAAATTAAGTTGAGTAAACTGAGATTAAGAAGATTTAATTAGTGAAAGATATTGCCATTTTGTACTAGTAGCTAGATAAGATAACTACTTTTTACGTTAGAAAAAAATCCATATAACCTATAATTTGGGTGACTCTGGCGACACGTACATTAATAATATCAATCCGATAGACGAGAACGCTTATACCCTAGAAAGGTTTTTCCTCTTTTTTATGTTCATGTTTCTTCTTTAGTGTAACTCAAACAATATAGATAGATAGTAAAATTAGTTGACGATAATTTTTCGTCTTTCCAACATTGTGTTAAAAAGGAATCAAATTTTACCTTTCTGCAGAGGAGTAACTTTTTTTATTACTGTTCTCTTGTTCAAATCTGTTGAAAATTATTTTTCTTAAGCTAAAGGTATTTCGAAAACAATCGCTATACTCAAGGGACGGGTACGATTTATGTACACATTACTCTACTCAGACTTTGCATAGTGGGAGTATACTGGTTATGTTATTGTTGCATATGAGTAATTTTGTCCGTAGGATCAATTTTTCTTATTTCTTCTTAGTTTTTCTTTTCACGACATTTGTCAGACTTACTTTTTATGTACTTTTTATCTTTTTTCATCCTTAGTTGGTTAGCTTACTTTGATGAATTCTTTTGTTTTAATTCGGTTTAACAGTTAAAACTTTAACAGTAATCCTCTCTATTTTGTGGTCCGTGAAAGAATAGAGAGAGAGAGAGAGAGTAGGAGTTTTGAGGAGTGGTTGGTGTGAAACCGAAAAATGAGCTGGTGGAGATGGGTCCTTCCACGTGTATTGCTTACAGCATCAGCTTCTTGTGGGAAGGTAAAGGTCCTCAAAATTGGCTATATTTACTAAATATACTAGTACTAGGATAATAACTATGTAGAATAATAGGGTGTTTGGCTAAGCTTATAAGAATTTTTTGGCTTATCTACGCATTTGGTAAAGTTAAAAGTGTTTATAAATTAAGTTCTTATAAATAAAAAATAAGTCAGTAGCCATAAGCTGGTTATCCCCAACTTATGAATTTTTAGATTATAAGCACTTTAAATTTGACCAAGATTTTTACTGTTTTATCCCTAAAATATTCCTTTTTAGAATAAAACTCCTACGTCGGTACTCACCGCCTCACGTATTTTTTCAACCTAAACCCCCCGCCTCTTCAAGTCTGCAATTCTCATTGACTATTTAAGGTGAGCAAATTCTTTATTTCTTTGCATATTTGTATCTACGTGATTGTGTATTAATCGTTGAACTGTATGTAATAAACGAGGACATATCAAATTTTTGGTGTATTGCTTTCTAAGTGTTGTGGTGATAAAGACATTGTTTGTTTCTCTTCTAATACTTTATCCTATTTAGGTTTATTTTTTTACTAAGAAATTTTTGTCAATTTATTAATTATTATAATTTATGATTATATGCTTATTATAAAATAAATTATCTTTATCATAAAAATTATCTTATCTAATCATAATTATTTTTAAAATAAAATGACAAATAGAATATTTTGTATTTGAATCGATCTGGAATCTAAAATTTTGAAGAAATTACGCCCTTATAAGTGTAAACAGTTCTAAGGTTATTTAAGTAATTTTAACAAAAAAAAGAACTTATCAGCATTTTTTTTTATCAAATATTACAACAACTTATTATAAACATTAGTACTTGTATCCAAATATGTAACTGTTTATTTATTAAATCAGTTGCAGCACTTAAAAATATTTTTCAGCACCTAATATTTATCAGCTATTTCAAATCAGCTAATCCAAACGGACTCTAAGTTTGAAAATCTCGGCATTTGCGTCAGCTTAATAAAGGGGCCCAGCATCCAGAGCAGCAATTATTTCGGTCCAATTACAAATTACCTTCTGAGCCGAATCGAAACTGGTTCCAGCTCTTTCAACCGGAGGCAACTCTCACTCTCCCTTAATTAATGTAGAGAAAATACTTTCTGAAATAAGGTGACCGTTTCAATAATAGTATTAATTTTAATATTCATGTATCTTAGGGGTCAAATGAAAGGAACATATCATTAATTCAATAATTTAACTAGTTAGGAATAAGAAAAAAAATAATAATATGTGCGGCACCAAGAGAAGCTCGAGCTCCACTCATCCTTCAACTATACGTATTCACTATTCCCCAATAACGCAAGATCGGGTCTCTATTTGCTCTTCTATGAATTAATCATCTTTGGTTTCTCTTCAGTTTCTGTAGACTTGTTACTTTGTTTTGATTAATTTGATTCATATCTGGTTATGATTTGTGTTTAGAGTTCGTTAGTTTGTGTATGTATCATCAGATTATCTAGTTAGTTTGCCATGAAATCTCGATTTTTGGTGTATTTGAGTTCATGATTTCTCTATATACGCGGGCTCTACAATATTTATTTAACAAACAAATATGCATGTTGTATGAACTTTTTTTGTTTTCGGATAATGCAAGGTAGCTCAGGATTTGTGTGCAGGGGCGGAACTACCCATGTCTGAGGGGTGTCACCCCTTTGCCGGAAAATGACATGGCGTAGATAGGTTTTTTCTTATAAATAGAATATATATAATTAGTTGACAGCCCTTGACACAAGAAAAACTCCTAGTGCAATGGTCAAGGGGTGTCAAAAGTTGCTGAAGGTCGCAAGTTCATTCCCGATTGCAACATAATTTATATTTTACAGTTTAGTCTTTTTTAAAATTTTGTAAACGAACTTCAAACGACGTTGTTTTATTAGCTATAAGTACCCTTTTTAAAATTAATAAACAACAATACGACATTAGGACAATTGGGATTAAAGAAATCCCTAATTTCAAAAGCCATAAGGGAATTTATCACGGCTCAGTGCTCCCATTCTCAAAATTGCTCAAGTGCGTTGTGCGTGCCCATTGTTGTCGCCGACTCGCCTTCGTTGGTCCTCTTTGCAAATCGCTTGTCGATATTCGCCTGTCATGGCAGCCACGATAAGGTGGATTGGATCGACTTTGTGGTCAGTTTGTGTAATTCCTTTGAATTTCACATTTACATTCATGATTCATCTTTTACTTTGTGGTCAGTTTGTGTAGTTCCTTTGAATTTCTCATTTACATTCATTAGGCTGCTTTTAATCTCCGTGAGCATCTTGGACTTTAAGTGAAAATTCATGTACCAAAAGTCTGGAAATCTTGACAAACTTGACAGTTGTTATAACTTATAACTGTGAATTGTGATATTTTATAGAAATTATTACTTGTATTTCTTCTAATTAAATTTTATTTTATAATTCAGAATCAAAAATCAATGAAGCAGTTTTTTTTCCAAAGTACCAAAATCAAGTTTGGCCGCTCCTCATAATCAATCTAACTTGGAAGAAGATGCAGCACCAAAATCAAATTTGGCCACTAATGATTAATCTAATTTGGATGAAGATGACAACCAATTGGAAGTACCACTGCATTCTTCTCAAAGACAGCAAATTAATCTTGAAACTTTAAACCCCGATCCGGCTGAAAGAACTCAAATCTTGAACTCAAATCCGGCTGAAAGAACCAATTGGATGTACCACTGTTTGTGTGGTAGACTGATTACGTCTAGAGTTATACGCTTCTTTATATTTGTTGCTCTGGGCGTTATTGGATTCTCTAGTTCATTGGTGAGCCAATAAGTTTTTTTGTTTCTTTACGAGTCAACTCGAGAATTGAAATAATTTTCATGGATGCCGAAACTAGATATATTACCAGTTTTGTGTATGTGTCCCGTTGTGTATAGACTTGATTTTGATGACTATTAATAGGGGACTTCATTTGTCATGGCTTTTTGCACCTATGAAAGTTTGGGAGAGGGTGGTGGAAGTGAGGGTGAGGGAGAGGGAGATGGTGTCTATATCCGACAACCAACTCGGGTTCATGCCGGGTCGTTCGACTACAGAAGCTATTCACCTTATTAGGAGGTTAGTGGAACAGTACAAGATATGAAGAAGGATTTGCACATGGCATTTATTGACCTGGAGAAAGCGTATGACAAGGTCCCAGGGAAGTTCTCTGGAGATGCCTAGAAGCTAAAGGTGTGTAGGTAGCTTACATTAGAGTGATCAAGGACATGTATGATGGAGCTAAGACTCGGGTTATGACTGTGGGAGGCGACTCAGATCATTTCCCGGTTGTTATACACCAAGGATCGGCGCTTAGCCCGCTCTCATTTTCCTTAGTGATGGATGCACTGACACACCATATTCAAGGGAAGGTGCCATGGTGTATGTTATTCGCTGATGACATTGTTTTGTGATCTAAGGGTTGTGAGCACCTAATTTTTTATCGTGCTTGAATATTTTTCGCTCACATCTTCCCACGCGTGTTCCCACTCTTTGTCCCCCACGCTTGTCCCCCATGCTTGTCTCTCACACTTTGTTCCTCACTCACAAAATCAGTCCCTATTTTCTGCTCAAAAGAGGAAGCAAAAATAGCCCTCAAGATCGACCAAAAAATCAGCCAAAACACAACTAAAAATTGCTCCCTAAAATCAGCTCAAATCCCACCCCCAAACGGGCAGAAAAAGGAGGTGCAAACAGCTACAAATCTCGACCTCCTCAACCCAAAAACGAGACTAAAAATAGCCATGAAAAAGCCACCCACCTCCAGCTCGTTTTCAGCCATGAAAAGCTGAAATTTCAGCTCGAAAATGGCAGCCAAAAATGCTGTTAAAAACAGCCACAAAAAAAAAATTTGAAAATTGTCCATAAACCAGCCTTTAAACCATCTCAAAAACAGCTGCAAAAAGTCCAAAAATAGTCCGAAAATCAGCCCCAAAACATCCCTGAAATTACCCCTGAAAAGCCATGAAAATCGTCCCTAAACCACTAACCAAAATCAGCTGAAGGTCACTCCAAAAACCAGCTAAAATAACTCCAGAAATCAGCGCAAAACACCGTTAACCACCTCCCATTTCTATCGCTTCAGTCCATCGACGGAGTGGTCATGTCCGGTTCGAGGCTTCCGATTGGGGTCCGATTAACAGTAACTAGTTTCTGTTTCTAAGAAGGTTCACTGTGAGATTTACTTCTTTCATTTTATTTTGTTCTTTTATTATGTTTATGAATACATGTTTTTGTGAAATCTATGTGAACGAGGTGTGTTTTCTTACTGTTTGTTTTGTTCTGATTTAGTTGTTAAGTTTCATTATTAGTTTAGTTAGCAAATTTCTTATCCATGTGATTAAGTCCTTTAACTCAAGGTAGTATGTCAAAATATTACGTGATTCATCTAAAAAATAATTTTATATTTTAATAATTAAAAGCGGATAGATAAAATATGAAAAAATATAAAAAAAATAAAGCACAGTTTATCCAAAAAATTAATTCAAGCCAAGTTGTAGTCAATAAAGCGACCGTGCTAGAACCACGGGACTCGGGGAATGCCTTACACCTTCTCCCCGGTCAACAGAATTCCTTATCCGAACTTTGTTTTCGCAGACCAATAATAATAGAGTCAAACCTTCCTTTGACTAGGGATTCAAATAAAAGGTGACTTGGAACACCCCAAAACTCAATTCCAAGTGGCGACTCTGTAAGTAAAATAATCCCTACTCAAGTTTATCACTTTAATTGGAAAACTCTTTAACCCA